GGGGGGGGGGGATAGGTTGTTCGGTGATGATGCCGGTGTTCGACGGTTGTGTTGTCCGTACTCCGAGCACAACAACCGTTGCGCCCCTCTCCTGGGCGCGACTCCACCGAATGTTCGAGGGGTAAAATTCCTAACCTCCCCGATCTTGAGCACTATCCCCGCTCCCAACATGCATATTTTTCGTGTGAACAAGGTCGCCTGAGGACAGAGCACAAGCACTCTTGTCCCTGTTGTCCCGGTACCACGTGCTCGAACTGGGGGAGTCCGTAGTGTCCGGGGAAGAGAAGACTGGACAAGACCAACCCACCGTTAAAAAAGACCACCCTACCGTTAAATCGTCACCTCAAGATCCTGGAGGGACCCAGGTCGAAGAAGACCGCGAAGAAGCTGGCAAACAGCAACCGCGGAAGGAGGAGGGGGGGGGCGAAACCCGCAACCTTGAAACGGAACCGGTTCCCGTAGAAAATACGGGAAGACCGATCGAAAGAAAAAAAACAGTCGAAGAAGAAGCCGACCAAGGCAGGCGGGTCGACGAACAAACCAACGCAAGTGGTACTATGAGCACCGGCGCCCAGGACGAGCAAGCAAAGGGGGACGAGGGCGAGCCTCACAGGGGAGGTAAGTCGGCGTCACCCGAAGGCGGTGATGGGACGTCACCCGAAGGCGGTGATGGCAGCGACAGCAGCGGTCGAGACCACCCCCCTCGCGCGGAGAGCGACGAGAGTCGTCGGAGTGTGGACGGGTGGGGCCCACCCGCGGGTAGCGCGCGTTTTTCCAGGCTTGGCCGAAAGGACTGCGAGGTGGCGTTTTTCGAGCTCATGCTGGACGAGCGGAATCGGTGAGAGTATTGTTGCACGAGATCTTGTGGTAGCAGCAGTTCTCTCGAGAAGCCGACGAGGGTTCGGGAAGACCTAAGGACGATTATTTGAGCGGCAGGGGATGCTTCAGTCAGGGTTCAAGGGGACGGCGTTTTTGTTGAGTGAGGAAAAAATTACGAGTACAGCTGGACTTTTAGTAGCGGGCATCAGTGAGGAAGCAGGGTTCGGCGGTAGGCAGGAAAGCGGCGAGGGGTTGTGTGCTCCTCGGCAGCATGGGCATGATGTTCTCTACTACGTGTTTGAAACACGCGACGCCTGTGGAGTGGTTGTCGCTTTGTCCCTTTTTTGGCCTGTGGTCTGGTAGATTGCCGTCCCAAGGGATCGCAAGTGTAGTAGCGGTACTCCCGATAATGCAACTACCTTCTGTCCGAGACATGTTTTTTTTATTGTTCAAACACGTGTCTTGCGCAAGTGCTTTTTCTTCTGCTCCCGGGAGAAGAAAAAGCACTATCTCGTCTCCGTTACAGTTGCTTCACGCGTCTCTCTCCTCCGGTATCGTGTCGTGTCTTTGTGTCCTTGCTCGCAACAGAGAAGGGCGCTTGCTGCGGCGCTTCCTCACCATGGCGCAGGCCAACAAGTCCCCGCCACCACCCCCTCCTCCCCCGCCCTCATCGTCGAATCCGGCGAAGAAGACGACGACAGTGCCATGGTCGTTTTCCGGAGACGCTACCGGGACCGGGGGCAAGACGACCACGCTCGCCAACACCGCCGCCAGCATGTTCTCCTCGATGCGCCGGAGGGCAGCACGCGGTAGCAACGCCAGCGGGGGTTCAAGCGTGGAAGCCGGCGACGATAAGACGCGTGGGGGGGCTGCCAACACTGCTGGCAGGGAACCGGGATCGGCAACGGCGGCGTCGGCAACCGTCGGGAAGACGGGGGCCATCACCGGGGATAGCGAGGAGGGGGAAGGGCCGGTGGGCCCGCAGGTGGTCAAGGCATTCATCAACTACTTCTCGAAAGAGGTGGGTGGACAGGAGAGCGTGAAAGAGTTTTGGTGTAAAAAAATTGTTGTGTTTCATGAAAATTGGGGAATGGAAAACAGAGAGTGACAACGCTTGAAACTCGGAGAATCCTTGAGTACTTCAGACTCAGACAAAGGACAAGGTTAAGCGCAGATACCCCCCCACCCCCCCCCCACACAAGCACCAAACGCCTCGTTACCTGTCTCTCGCTGCTTTCCCGCAATATCCACGCCCTTACGAAACAGCACAAGAACGAAAACGACACAGCAATGCTCGAGGGTGCACGAAGATGTACTGAATTCTTGTTCACCCAGGTACCTCCAGAGGGCCCGGAGCGGAGGGGTACTCTACAACCAAGTGATTTATGATTCCCCGAAGCATTGCTTTGGTTTGAACTGTGCTCAAAAGTTCTACACCATCGGTTTGATTTCGGCCTCTCTGATGAGTCGGCGTCGTTTTCCCTCTTTTCTTCGTGTGCCCTTGCAGTACCTGGTGAAGATGTTCGACGTGCCCGACTTCCTGGTGCCGACGTTGACGACGCTCGTGGCGCTGCTGGTGTTTCGGCAAGCGAGAAGACTCGTGTTTGGCTACGACCGGCGCCGCGTGGCAAAGAACGATGAAGTCTGGCAGGAGAAGGTGAGTGCTACGAGGCAGACGAGAGTATTATCTTTAGCCACCAAGTATTATGTTCGGCGCACGTGAACGGCCTTCCAATTGAGCTTTTTGGTTTTGGTTTTTGTCTGACGGCAGTCGAGGATGTACAGGATCTGAGAACGACGAAACACAATCAACAGGAGAGAGGGGATGAATAGGCAAAGAGAACCAGAGAGAAGGGGGGGCATAGAGGGGGACAGGGAGGTATACGCCTTGATACGGACACAGTCCGTGCGAGTCATGTATCTCGGTTGTCGAACGAATCGGCCTCGCTTCGCCATTTTCTGTAAACACCCACACGCGAAGACTGCCGTGGCACCAAGCGACTTGCTTCCTTTTTTCTGTACAGGACAATGAAAGCTGCGTGCACAAGCATGAACTGCAAACGAGAACCCCGGGTGCCGTTGGACGAACACATACGGCACCTTCGTTGTCGCTTGTTTGTTGTTCCGGAGAGATCGCGCACGCAAAGTTTTAACACAAATCCAATCTAGTGTTCATGACAACAAACCCACCTCGTTCCTCAGTCTTTTTATTTCTCCGTCAACCTTCTTGTATTCTCACATGTGCTCCTTACTTTATATCTTGATCCTCGACAACCAGGCGAGAAGAGTGCGTTTGGTGCCCCTGAGCGAGCTGGGGGCTCCGCAGGAATACATTATCGCCTCGAGTCCGAGGAGTGGCTCGGCTGTTCAAGATGGGGCCAGAAGGGGGCCCCGTACCGAAAAAGAAGGGGAAGTGGAAGCGGTGGATGCCGATCTGACCGACCGCAAAGTTGTAGCTGACTCGCGATCCGATGATGATGGTGGTCCTGGCGATAGCGGTGAACCTGATGGTGCGGGTACCGATGCTCGCCTAGCGGCTGGTCTTTCGCCCAAGTCTGCTGCTGCTGCTGTGGAGGCATCTCACGCCAGGACCGCTGATGTTTGCGCGAATGCAGGCGATGACACGGCGGTAGCTGGACAGGAACAGGCAACGCCGGCCGCCCCGTCCACAGACAAGGGTGTATCGCCGACGGGAGGAGAACACGGCGACGCCGCCCTTGCCGACACGTCCACTGCTGCTGCTGCTGCTGCTGCTGCTGCTGCTGCTGCTGCTGCTCCTGTGTCGGGTGTTCCACAGACGGCGGCGGGGAGAGCGCGGCAAGCGGAGAAGGAGGTGGCGGCGACGGCGGCGGCGGCACCGGCGTACGCCAGGGCTTCGCGAGAGTTTGAGCGCCTCGGGGAGTGCGCCACGCCGGTAGAAATGCTGGACGTCATCAAGGCCGGGATGACGCTCTTGTCCGAAGAAGCCGCGAGGATATCGGTGAGTTGCTGCTGTGGTTGGGCTAGAGAGGGTGAGCAGGCCAGGAGCAAAGGGGTGCGGGGGATGCTACTGTAGCGGCGGTGGTGGGAAAGAATAGTGGGTCCAACAGTCCCGTCTTACGGCATGTAAATCCGGTACACATTTGTGGGGCGATGGTGAGCTTCGAGGTGTGGGCAGGTCAGCTCCTGGGTTGTATCTGTACGGGATTGTCGTGGTTGTGGTTCATTGCAGGGGGGGTGCGGCCAGCCGATCCCCTAATCTGTATGGCCCAGCATGAAATGAAGCGGTGTCGGTGAGCTCCTCGCGTGGTGTACCGGATAGCCGCACCACTTGGTAAATTGTCCCACCTTCCCCCGACGGGTGGTTTTTCTACGGGCCGACACAACCGCTTAGTGCGAAAGCTTCATCTTGTGTAAGCTATCTTCGTACCAACCTTTCTGGATGCAACGCCCCCCCCCCCTGGTTTCGTCCGTGTTCTTACTTCGCTGCTCGTAGGGCCTGTGAGCGATGTTTACTCATGCTGCGCTTGTTTTACCGCTGTTCCCCGCGCTGTTCTTTTTTTTGGCGTGGCACCCATGTCGAACGGCGGCCGTGCGAATAGAAACAAGCACGGTGTCCATGTTGTACGTAGTGCTTGTTGCGTTCCGTACTTGCCCATGATTGACAACAGTTCGAGAGTAACCTACTAGGTGATACGCTGTTTGGAAGCAGAGGCAATCTGATAGACATGATTGTTCCTCTGTACAGGAACCACATTGTACAGGGCGGGTATCTGCCACAGGTCAAATCAACCGCCCGATGCTGGGCCCACGGCTAGTCTATAGGTTGTGACATGGCACTACTGTACCCTCCTTTCCTGTGAAACCGTCGGCTTTGCTGTCTCCTCCGCTCTTGCCTTGCAGGGATCGGACAAGCCTTTAGACGCCGACAGCCTGCTGCCTCTGCTCGTCCATTCCCTGGCGCACGCGAACCTCCCGCGAGTCCACGAGGCTCTGAGTTTTCTCAGAAATTTCCAGGGTGCTGGTTGGGGAGGGGAGCAGGAGTACTACGTGACGTGCCTGTGAGTCGAGGTAGTCCTTTTGATAGGTAGGCGGCTCTGAGTGCTGCATCAAGTTTTGCGTCGAGGCGTACACACATCTTTTGCGTCAGCGCCTTGTTTAAGGGATGTAACAGGGGGGGATTCTGCGGCGTTCCTGTGGCTGGGTATCTACCTCGTAGTTTGAAGCTTCCGGTGGGGGTCGTGGCTGCGTGTTGGTCGCTTCGATCTCTACTTGAGCCCGCGAGTGTCTCGTAAGTGGGAGAAAACGCCCCGCTTCCCGTATGCATACGTCACTGCAAAGGCACTTGCAACCGCCCCCACCCACCCCCGCCGCTCTTTCTTCTCCCCGCCCCCCCCTTGCGATAGCGAGGCCGCGGTTTCTTTCGTGCTAGACTGGGGGGCTGTTGCCGACCCCAACGCCGACGGGGATGACGGTAACAACAACAACAAGGATGACGACAATATCATCACTGACAGCGCCAAAGAGTCGAAGGCGGCGGGGAAGAAACTACTTAGTCGAGAGGATGACAGTGGCGGTAGCAGTAGCGGTAACGATGCAACGGCTGCAGGAAGATGGGCGGCGCGGCGGGCGGGAGAAGAGGAGGAAGAGCCGGACAAGGGGCGGGAAGCCTTGGTCCGCCTCGGAATTTTCTTGGAAAAGCATGAGGTTCAGGAGGACACGGTGGACGTCTTGTCCTCCGCCGGCTGGCTCTGACCTACCTGTCACGCACTGGCTCCTGAGCATATCCGCCGCCTGTTGCAATATGACAGGGGGAGGGGGGGGGGGGTTGCAGCGCTGCTGCTGTCGACCAGCTCGATCTAGTTTTTTTTCAGTATCTCGGCGTAGAACAAGTCCTATTCAAACGAGCTCGTGAGTGGGCGAAAAACAGCAAGCTCCGGAAGTTAGTTCTGTGCCCGGCCACGAGCCCTACCGTCATTGATTACGCACCCACAAATCCGCGGAACAGCGTTAGGTCTCTTTTTACGTCCGTGAGGAAGCCCTATGCTGACGACGGCGCCAGTGTGAAGCAAGCCCCGTTTTGCTTGCCTGTTGTTATGTGCCAAACGAACAGCGCGATGATACACAGTACTCGTTTACCGCTTGCTGTGGGCGAGAGAAAGCTAGCTGTGTCCGCCGAGAGCGCACCCGAGCGATATTAGGAACATGAGATCGAGCTTGAATTCAGGCAATAAGGGAGCTAGCTTGAAGCATGCAAGGCCGCCACTTCGCAGCGCAAATCGCGATTTGGTCCTCTCGGCAGCTTATCTCTCTTCTTGCTGCGCGAGCGTGCATTGCGACCGTTGTTGCTGCTGCCGCTGCCGCTGCCGCTGCCGCAACTCAGCGAATTTTGCCTCGCAACCCGGACGCGGACCTCGGGATACTCCGGCTGCTGAAGACCAGCTACCGCACCAAACGAGAAAGGGCGTCGAGGAGACCGATCAAAATAAAATAAAAGGAGAACGGGGAACGCTTCCCACCCGCCTACAACGCCGGAGGGTTCCGTGCCGGGTTCCCGCCGACCAAGCATCCCCCGCCCTGCACCACACCCCAGGGGGTGCAGCAAGACGGGGGGCGAAAAACAAACACATATATATTCCCACAAAAAAAATAAAAAATCGAAGGACAACGTACACCNGCGGGAGCTATCATCCCCGACCTGTTACCTTATCCGCTCAACGTCCAATGAGTGGGACTCGAACATGCAAGCATCAAGGTACATCATCAATGGAGGGATCTCATGATGATGCACACCATAATTGATCATGATGCAACAAGGGGAAACCCTTGTGTGTGACCACGGGTTGGAGTAAACGGCGCAAAGTGCTGTGAGCGCTGCTGATGATATGAATTTAGGACAAGATAATAACAGTAAAACATGGTACTAGACTAAATAATATAGTCTAAGCATGAGTGAGACATTTTTATAGAAAATTTAAAGGAATGCCCGCCCGACGGTGGCTTGCCTCCTAGATGTAGTAGATGTAGATTCTGCCGTAGACACTCTTGTCCACGAGCACGTTGAGATGG